CACCCCCCTTTCCCCTTCCCTTTCTCTGTGACCCCTTTTAAACAGTGCTTTTCAAGGGTTTGTAGACTTAATTTAATTTAATATTTGATTAACAATCCTACCCTTTAAACCTTTAGTGTGGCAAAAATAATTGATATATTCTTTTTTTTACTACTTAATTTTCAACTGGGTTCTCTGTTAAAGTGACAATTGGAATTATGCAGCAGAAGCAATGAAGAAAATTGGGGGAATTTAAGCAATTTGATATCTTTTTAATTTAAGTGTTTACTCGATATACTTTTATCCTTCTAACCTTAATCTGATGAATACTCAATCTTGGAAGATCAGTCGTCCACTCATCAGGGTTATAACTCTTGGTTCTCCTACAACAATATTTCTTGATCAAAATAACAACTCTAGGTTCTCCTACAAATTTAGTTCTTGGCTTCAATTTTAACTCTTGCTTCTCCTACAAATATAGTTCTTGGTTTAAATTTTTAACTCTTGCTTCTCCTACAACATAGTTCTTGGTTCAAATAATAACTCTTGGTTCTCCTACAAATATAGTTCTTAGTTTAAATAATATCTACTGGTTCTCCTAAAAATATAGTTATTTTGTTAGATAATAACTCTTGGTTCTCCTACAAATAAAGTTCTTGGTACAAATAATAACTCTTGGTTCTCCTACAAATACAGTTATTGGTTTAAATAATAACTCTTGGTTCTCCTACAAATATAGTTCTTGGTTAAAAAAAAACTCTTGGTTCTCATACAAATATAATTCTTGATTTAAAAAAAAACTCTTTGTTTTCCCACAAATATAGTTCTTGGTACAAATTATAACTCCTGGTTCTACTAAAAATAAAGTTATTGTTTTAAATAATAACTGTTGGTTCTCCTACATTTAAAGTTCTTGTTTTGAATAATAAAAATTGCTTCTCCTGCAAGTTATTATAGTTTATAATTTATAATTATAGTTCTTGGTATAAAAAGTAACTCTTTGTTCTCCTACAAATAGAGTTTTTGGTTTGAAAAATAACTCTTGCTTTTCCTGAACATATAGCTCTTGGTTTAAATAGAAATTCTTGGTTCTCCTGCAAATAATAACTCATGGTTCTCCTTAACAGTTCTTGGTTAAAATAATAACTCATGGTTCTCCTTAACAGTTCTTGGTTAAAATAATAACTCATGGTTCTCCTTAACAGTTCTTGGTTAAAATAATAACTCATGGTTCTCCTTAACAGTTCTTGGTTAAAATAATAACTCNTATCTATCTATAGCGTATCCTGGTTTTCAAGTACCCCAGCAGGGATAGGGTTAAAAGAAATGAATCAGCAAAAAACTAGATTCAATCATTATACTAGATAGATATAAAGTATAATGGTTATTATTTTGAATTTTCAATGTAAAAATTTGCAATAATAAAATTTATTTATGATATGTGGATGAACCTAGAAAAGAATGTACACATATGATTAATTTACTACAGGTAAAGTACAAATATTATTATTAGCACCCACCGATGTCTATTGATTGGTCGTGAATACTCTAGTTGTATACAATGGAATCTGCTCTGGAAAATAACGGATTTACTAGCGTATGAGCAATCTGTGTTAGTCTGTGGTCTATATTCTCAATAGTCTGAAGTATAGACTTGTATAAAGTAGCACTGTAATTATACACACAGTGGGAGATCAAACCTAAATACTAACCCGCTTAAAGGGCTTCTCTTGCACAATTTTCTAGTTTAAATGTCATTAAAGGGACCTTCCACTTTTTGAAAAGATGCTCATGATCTATCTGAGTAACAATGATAAAAGTATCCAAAGGATTTCTTGCTGAATATTAGTTTTTAATTACAAAATTCTAATACCTTAAAAGCAAAGCTGTAAATTTAAACTTTTATAACTTTCTCAACACTGAAATGTTAATTTGTAAAGCAAAAAAGAAAGAAATTAACCTATGAACGGTTTAAATAAAGCACTACATTTTTCTGTCGTTAAAAAGTACTTAAAAATCATAATTATCCCTCTATAGGCCCCACTTCCTGTCTCCCCCCTTCTATTTTTCCTACTTCCTAGTCCCCCTAAAGCCCACCCCTCTATTCTTCCTACTTCCTAGTCCCTTTAAAGACCCCCCCCCCGTGGTGCCGCAAATGATGTTAGATTGTGTGGCAGAAAAAGATTGACCTCATCTAACCATTCCCCCCCCCCCCTCACACCAACATATTCTGTCGGCTATAATATAAAAAGATTTAATTACTGTGCTTGCGCCTCAAAAACCCTCTTTACGGGG